AGAAACGGGTATATATGTAAGTAGACAGTCAGCCCAACAGAAACAGGTATATATATACAGGTAGACAGTCAGCCCAACAGAAACGGGTATATATATAAGTAGACAGTCAGCCCAACAGAAACAGGTATATATATACAGGTAGACAGTCAGCCCAACAGAAACGGGTATATATATAAGTAGACAGTCAGCCCAACAGAAACAATCACGATTTAAGAAAAAGAGAAAAAATATATTTGTAGTTGAAATAAATTTTTCCTGATCTCTTACCTAACAGTGGGAACAGGCCATCCTTCTACAATACACGGCAGCTCCGACTCTTGTCCTTGATGCACTTTGACAGAGGAGAATTTTAAAACAAACCTAGGGCTCGATGGTCCATGAGGTTCTAAATAAAGTAAGAAAGCTATTTTCTTATCCTAACCTTATAAAGTAGGTTATCACAAGAGGTGTACTCATGAGATATAACAACTACCCTAGAAACCCATTGATATTACCCTTTAGTTATCACAAGAGGTGTACTCATGAGATATAACAACTACCTTAGAAACCCATTGATATTACCCTTTAGTTATCACAAGAGGTGTACTCATGAGATATAACAACTACCTTAGAAACTCATTGATATTACCCTTTAGTTATCACAAGAGGTGTACTCATGAGATATAACAACTACCTTAGAAACCCATTGATATTACCCTTTAGTTATCACAAGAGGTGTACTCATGAGATATAACAACTACCTTAGAAACCCATTGATATTACCCTTTAGTTATCACAAGAGGTGTACTCATGAGATATAACAACTACCCTAGAAACCCATTAATATTACCTTTTAGTTATCACAAGAGGTGTACTCATGAGATATAACAACTACCTTAGAAACCCATTGATATATTACCTTTAAGTATGTTCGTATCTAGAAACCCATTTGTATTGCCCTTTCAATGTGTTCATATGTAGCAACTCATTCATATTACCTTTTAAATGTGTTCATATCTAGAAACACATTCAGGTGTAAAATATTTAAAGTTAAAGAAGACTTTACCAATCTTGTTTACCACATATAGTGTGTTCACAGATAAATAAGTATTAGGTCGTCAAGAAATTAATGTCGCCTTTTTTAGATGAACAAACCAGAACAACTTATATATCAAAAC